ACGATTTCTTCGGTTTTAAAGTGTGAAGTAAACTCTGTAGCGTTATTAAGATCCTATTGTCTGCCCTTAACAGCTGCCCCTTCACACAGTAACATCGCCAAGGTCGGATGCTGGGTTCAGTATGTTTACATTCCAGGAGAAGAGACAGAGAAGAGAAGAAGAACGCTTTCCATTAATTAATCAAAGTACTTTATTCGTGATAAAGCTAATCAGAGCATATGTTGATCAATAATAATCAGGTGAATGATCTGTGAAATAAAGATGTCATGAGTTATGTGTTTAATGAATAAACAGGACTGCACCAGACAGACTGATCTACATTACCATGGAAACGCATGACACATTGTTTTCAACCAATCAGAACTTTCGTCTGTCATAGAGAGAATCTGGGTTGTTTAGTGAAGTTGTCCAATCCGGTTTACTAAGCTTTGTAAACAATTAGGGGATATAAAACAAGGCAACGCCATTTTAACTCTGTTCCATTTTAACCTCAGTACTGTTCAATTGGAGGTCCTAAGGATTTCCATCGTCATCATTAAGAAAGTTACAGGCTGGCCAGCTGTACTTTTCTATTTTAAGCTGAGAACTGTCAAGCTGGAAATTTCTGTTGTTTGAACAACAGGACGATGGTTCCTTCACAATAAGAGCTGAACACGCCGAGATCTGCTACTACTACCGGAGCTATCCGTAGACTGGTTTGTCGTGCTGCACCACTGTTTCATCAGCCCAGCACCAAGGGGGGTTCTAGGACCTGACACTCCTGATCTGACCGCGGGAGACTCCTTAGGTACGTAGTCACGGCACAAAATGGCGGCTCATGTCATCAGCTTCTGAAGCCTCGTGGTAGCCTAGTCATAACAACCAGATTCGCTACGTCAGCCTAGAGATTCTGAACAACACACACACACACCAACACGAAACATCCAAATCCATATGCATCCATCATTGAGATAGTCCTGGTAGATTGTAAGACTTTATAATTATAGAAATTAAAGATTCTTAAATGATCCCAACTCTCTTTTCTTGTCTCTCAGTCAATACAGAGTGTTTAAGTAAACTCTCTGATGATAAAAACAACCACTTCTGATTATAATACTTAGATCTAATTACAGTGTATAAATATACAAACTACAGATCATTACTCCGAAGTAAAATCCAAGCTGATCCCGTTAACGTTCATGTGTTTGTTTACCTTTTGTTACCTGCCAAAATGGCGTCTACTAACTGAGAGTCAGTGGGGTCCGGAGCTCTATACAGGGATAATAAGCCCCCCTACGGCAAGAGTGTCTTGGCTCATTGATAATGTTACAGTCAGGAGGATGGAGTTCAACCAGAGAAGCCGACTCATCAGGCGGGACCCACATTTCAGTCATTGCAGAACAAGCTCACTTCCTTGTCGATGTAGAAGTTCTTTAGAATAGATGTTTTATTCCTAACAGAGCGGACATTCTGTAGAGCAATCCAAATAGGTGGCAGGGACCGCAACGGAAGCTGCGGGGAGGATCGCCACATACCCGACCTCACAGGATAACAAAGATTATGGGGATTTACTCCTCCAGTGCGGCGCATCGTATGACTGCTTCCATATGTCAAGCAAACCGACCAGCATTGCCATTCCGTCAGAGGGATCTGATCCTGACCCTGACATAGGCACGTTTTCTGCGCCGTCCGGCCAGGAGTACCAAGAAGCTCCATCAGAAACTCCTCAAACAGGCTACCGAAAATCGGCCCAAAAGTCGCATCATGAAACCGTGGAAATCCCGGGTTTAAGCAAAGATCCATGAGTGTATGCCGGTCATATTGTAAAGTAGGATGACAATCAGCTGAAAAGCGATTCAAAAACAAAAGAGTCAGCATGATAGCCAGGAGAAGCAGACGGCGTGCCACAACAGTCAGCGCCATCTTTGAACTCCAGTACTGGGACCAGAGTTAATAGGGTTTGTATGGGGACCATGAGTGGGTGTCTAGCGTTCACTTTTGTAAGTCTTAGGTTGTATGTGTATGTGTGAGCATGAGGGAGTGAGTGTGTGACTGTTTGTTTATGACTGTATTTGTCAGGTGGGATCTTGGACTCCTCCCTTCTCTTGGGTCTTCCAGTGCTGCCTGCCCTCCCCATGCAACATTTGCTGCTGAGTGTAGGGTCTTGGTCTGCCTGCGTGCTCGCGGCTCCCTGGTTCACGGAACTTAAGATTTTAGGCATCTGTCTGATTGATCCCGTTGGCTGCCTGGTGGGATCTGCGTCCCTGGCCTCTGTTGGGTCCCCGGTGGGGTTGGTCGCCCCTGGGTCCGGGGGCACTGGTTCCTGGGCTTAGCCAGCTTGGAGGTGGGTGGCTGCGGGCCGGCCTCTGGGCTTGCCACTGTTATCTCCCTGGACTCTGCTGGCTGCTGGTTGTGGCCCCCCGGGGTAATCCTCTGCACCTCTCGAGGAGGGGCTGGGGCTTTTCTGGTTACAGTCTCCCTGGGGTCCCTAAGCTCTGCTGCAGCTCCTGGATCTCAGGGACTTGGAGCTCCCTCCATCTCCTACACATCTTGCTCCTATAGAGAAACCTTGTATATACAAGCAGGTGTACGTACACTAGTGCATTGAAGCCGCTGCCCTGTGATTGGCTGATTGGATAACTGCATTAAGGAGAAGTTTGTTCCTAGTAATCCGTTAGGTGAGAGTAAGTGTGAATGTGAAGTTCCATCGACCGGTAATTAGTAGGGCTGTAGTGAAGCCTCGATGACGTCGACGGCTCGATTCTAAAAATTCGTCGACGTCAGATCCGGTAGTCGACGCACCGCGCCCACTTGTTGCATCCCCAGGAGTTTGTAAATAGAGGTGGAATCTGTCTGTTTTTCTTCTAGTTCGCCCTCTTCTCCGCCTTCACTAACATCTCCGCCAACTACCGAAGACCCGGAAAAACGTCCGTCCGCTACTAGGTTCCTTTCCTGTTTTGCCCCCCTTCGTTTCCCGGCAACGGACAACAACTTCCTGGGTCAAATGCGCTGCTCCGTCTCTATAGCAGATGCAGAAAATCACCGGGAGCGTTTCTCCCTTCATAAAGGAGCTTCTTTCAGACATTAGGAGAGCTGTTTTGGTGGTAGCAGTCTCTCCTCCATGCTGGTCTGTTTGCTGCTGGGTGTTTTTGGTTTATTTAAACTTGGTAACTTGAACTTAACGTTGGTAAAGCTACTGTTAGCATTTTCGCTAACAGCTTCTTGCGTTTGGATAAGCTGTTACGTTTTGGTTTAGAGTTGATCTTTTTTCAATCCAATCCAATCCGATTTTATTTATAAAGCGCATTCACAAGGCATTACAACCAAACAAGGCGCTGTACACTAGAAATGTTGGTTAATTAAACAAGCGATATTTAAACATGTTGAACACATATAAAAAATAATAATTTGTGGTGCAGATCTCCCTTTTATTACATTTAGAGTGTTGTGGGTTTTCGGTTTAGTTTAAAATATCACCTTGAGTTTGGTTTAACCGCCCAGTTTAGAGTTTGGAACTTTGGAGATTCTTATTTTGGTCCAAAACCCTGTAGTCTTTGCCCAGCGGGAACTCCCTAGTTATCTGTACTTTTGTTTTAATTCCCCACAGGCAGAATTAGTTTTATTACTCCCAACCTGTGGATGGAAAGATTTGTTTTTTTGTAGTTGTAAATAAACCTGATCATCATTTTAACTTTTAAATCCCACATTATTGTCCCTTCCTTTTTGCACACGAGCCAAACTCCCCAGGAAGAGTCGTAACACCACTCGCCTCACGCACATTACTGACCAAAACAAAGCAGCATGGAGACACTCCGTCTCCAACCACCTCTCAGGCAGCAGCCTGCACTCCCAAGTTCTACACATCACCAGAACATAACCAACCACAACACAATAAAAGCAGTGTTATACAAAATGGGAGGCCTGTAGTGTTTATTCTCTTACAGTAACAATTAATCAATTTTTTGGAGGAATTTATTAGAGATTTTTTGGTTTTTATTAACTGTGCAATAGAAAAATAATCATTAGATTAATTGTATAAATAGTCATTAGAATAGTCGACTATTCGATAAAATAATCGTCAGAATAATCGTTTTAAAAATAATCGTTTACCCCCAGCCCTAGTAATTAGGGATTAGTACCAAATTCGGTACTTTTTAAGGTACCGACCGAATTCCATAGTACCGACCGAGCACCGATTCACGTCATTTCAAACGGTGCCTCGTTTTGGTACCCGTCCTTCATAACGAGAACTTGCCAAGACAGCTGCGCATGCGCGTTATGTCGTCGGTCCCTGTCCCAGCGACATTGATCTAAGTGAGACATCCTTTTCTTAATCTGCTCCGGTAGGTAAATAAAATGTTTAAGATAACGTTAGCTTGATATGTTAGCTTCCGTTTCGCTAATGGTGAGTTCGCTTTCTCCTCGTAACTCCGAATTTCCGACTAGAAGATCATGAACGCGCTCTAAAGTTTGGCTTCACTTTACTAAATGCGACGAGTGACAACGATCTAAGTGTGAGGCATCATCGTTTTAATCTGCTCCAGCAGTTAAATAAACTGTTAAAGATAACGTTAGCTTGATATGTTAGCTTCCATTGCCACCATTGTTATCAGCTAATGGTGCAATCGCTTTCTCCTCGGAAATTCTAACTTCCCAGTAGGAAAAATCAAATGAAAAAAAAAAACGGCAAAAGGAATGAAAATACACAAAAAATTTAGTTCACAGTAAAGATGTTTGCTTCAGTTTAATTGTCAGCTTTTAAAACTACAAGGACGATGTTAAAATACAAACAGATTTATGTTATTTATCGTGATATTTATCAAATATTGTTATATATTGAGAAATATATATATTTAATTATAAAAGAATTAAAATAATAAACACTCAAAAGTATCGAAAACTGGTACCGTTAAGTACCGGTATCGATTCGTAGGTACCGGGAATTAGTACCGGATCGATTCAAATGTCAAAGGTATCCATCCCTATTGGCAATTCACATCATGTTTCTGTGTTTCCTAAAGATGTTCAACAGCTGGTGCTGGTTAAAGAAGAAGCTCCTGAGGAACAGAGTGCAGGTGTGGACCAGAAAGACCCAGAACACATCCACATGAAGGAGGAACAAGAAGAAAACTGGACCAGTCTGGAGGGAGAGCAGCTCCATTTGGAGGAGAAAACTGATGCTGCCAGGTTTCCATTCACATTTGCTTCTATAAAGAGTGAGGATGATGAAGAGAAACCTCTGTTCTCACAGCTTCATCAGCAGCAAGTAGAAGACAAAGAAGTTCCAACCAACAGCTCAGCTCACCAGATGACAGCAGAAACTGGTGGAAGAGCAGAAACTAGCAGGAACCAAGATTTGAACCCTCATGAACAGACATCTGATTCTTCAGAAACTGAAATGAGTGGAGATGATGAAGATGGTGATGATGTGAATCTAGAATCTGAGCTGTCAGACTCTGGGTCTGAAACTGGAGAAGAAGACAGTGACTGGAATGAAAGCAGGTCTTCTGATTCACATGTTAGGACTGTCAACAAGTCCTTTAGCTGCCCTGAGTGTGGTGAACAATTTGTCCACAAGAGGTCTCTCCAGAAACATGTGAGAGTGTCAGGGCATTCAGCAATAAGGTCTTCAAGTTGTTTGGTCAAAAAGAAATGTGTTGGAGTGAAGCAACATGTAGACTCATGCAAGAAAGTCCAGAAAAAGCTAAAATCATTTAGTTGTGATGACTGTGGAAAAATATTTAGTGCAATGTGTGATTTAAACGTGCACATGAGAGTCCACACAGGAGAAAAACCTTTTTCCTGTAAGCTCTGTGAAAAAAGACTTAGCAGTAAGAAAGCTTTAAACAGTCACATGAGAGTCCACACAGGAGAACAACCTTTTGCCTGTAAGCTCTGTGGTCGAAGATTTAGCCAAAAGGCATCTTTAAACAAGCACATGAATGTCCACACTGGAAATAAACCTTTTGCTTGTGAGCTCTGTGGTCGAAGATTTGGCGCAAGAAATAATTTTAACAGGCACATGAGAGTCCACACAGGAGAACAACCTTTTGTCTGTGAGCTCTGTGGTCGAAGATTTGGAGAGAAAGCAAAATTAGGCATTCACATGAGAATCCACACAGGAGAAAAACCTTTTGTCTGTGTGCTCTGTGGTAAAAGATTAGCCTATAAACTAGCATTAGACAATCACATGAGAATCCACACAGGAGTAAAACCTTTTGTCTGTGTGCTCTGTGGTAAAAGATTCGCCCAAAAACAAGCCTTGGAGAGTCACGTCAGAGTCCACACAGGATTAAAACCTTTTGTCTGTGGGCTTTGTGGTAAAAGATTTAGCCAAAAGTCAACTTTAAACAATCACATGAGAGTCCACACAGGAGAAAAACCTTCTTGCCTGTGAGACATGTGGTCAAAGATTTAGCGACAAGACCGAGTTAAACAGTCACATTAGAGTTCACACAAGACATAATGAATTATTTTGAATGTGATTGATAGAAAAAATTCCATCTTTGAGAGCAGGGGAGTGGAGGAGGAGTGTATAAATACACGCATGTGTGTGTGTGTGTGTGTGTGTGTGTGTGTGTGTGTGTGTGTGTGTGTGTGTGTGTGTGTGTGTGTGTGTGCATGGAAACCTTGTGGCTTCATATGATATAAGCAGTTCTGAAAGATAAGAAGGCCCAAGGCCATTAGGACACTTAAAAAACGTTTAAAGTATTTTAAAATCGATCCTGAAAAAAACGGGGAGCCAGTGTAGTGATTCTGAAACTGGAGTGATGTGCTTCCGCCTCCTGGTCTTCACTAGAACACGTGCTGCTGAGTTTTGTAATAGTTGTAGACCTGAAATCTTCTTTTTAGGAAGACCAGAAAGCAGGGCATTGCAGTAGTCTATCTTACTGGTGATAAAAGTATCCATCAGCGTCTCCGCATTGGCCGGAGAGAGAATGAGGCGGACTCTGGCGATGTTCTTCAGATGATAAAAACCCATTTTGGTGATATTTTTAACATGATGGATAAACGTCAGCTCAGAGTGAAAGATGACACTCAGGTTCTTCACCTGTGAAGATGGATTAAGAGACAGTGATTGTAATTTTGGTAAAAGTTTCTTTCTCTGGGCCTCAGGAGGGTGCATATAAAGGTTAAAAAGCACTGGGCCTAAAATTGAATCCTGGGGCACACCACATGTAATCCCATGGACCGTAGAGGAACAGGTATCCAAACCCACCATAAAAGTCCTGTCGGTGAGGTAGGAAGTGAACCATCGGTGAACAGCACCAGAGAGGCCGATCCCTTTCAAACGAGTTAAAAGAACAGTGTGGTCTACTGTGTCAAAGGCAGCACTTAGATCCAGTAGAACCAACAAAGTCACCTTCCGTTTATCATAATTTACTCTAAAACCATTTAAAATCCTCAGAAGGGCCGTCTTGGTGCTGTGGTTCACCCTAAAACCAGACTGAAATTTTTCAAAGACATTATGGGTGTCGATAAAATCATTCAGTTGAATTAAAACAAGCTTTTCTAAAATGTTGCTTAATGGTAAGTTGGATACCGGTAGATAATTGTTTAAATTGTTAAAATCTAAATTGTTGTTCTTCAGCAGAGGCCTCACCACCGCCCGTTTAAAAGTGGTAGGAAAGACCCCCGTCTGAAGTGAGTAATTCATCATAGTTAAAACCTCATCTGTAAAAGAATCATAAAATTGTTTTAAAAACCTTGTGGGAATAGGTTCCAGGACACGTGTGGTGGGTCTCACTGGGGAGAAAACCTTATCAAGACTCAGCTTCAACCAGAACAACACTCTCCAGTGTTTCCTCTGGTAGACACACTCTCAGATGTGTCTAAAACCACGTTACGTAGAGAGGATAAAATATTACATCTGATGGAGTCTACCTTCTCTCTGAAGTGGCCTGCAAACTCCTCAGAGAGTGTTTGAGGGGTTTTTCTGAGTTGGAGTTGAGAATATTATTGATTGTGGAGAAAAGACTTTTAGGGTTATTTTTATGGACCGAGAGGATTTTGGAAAAGTATGCGTTTCTTGAATTTCTTACAGCATTATTGTATGTTTTTAGTAGTTGTGAATATATCTGATGATTTATTGTTATCTTGTTTTTTCTGCATCTCCTCTCCGCCACTCTGCAGTTTGTCTTTAGTTTTTTTAGGTTTTCATTTCTCCAAGGTGATGTATGATTTGACTGTAAGTTTTTGGTTTTGAGTGGAGCAAGCAAGTTAAGAGCTGACTCAAGTCTTCTGTTAAAATTGTAACGTGAGGAAATATGGGTTTTCTGTCACAAAGGTGGTGTTGGCCTCAGCTGGGTCAAAGCTGGGTCGTTGAGAACTTTCACCCACAGATTAAGACCTGAACGCCAGCGAGTCTGGGAGGAAACCATAACATCTGCCACCTGCAGCTTCGTGCCAGAAGATGTTGTTCCCACAGAAGATGTTGTTCCCATAAATGTAGTCATAACAAGTCTTAAAACTTTCTTTTCTTGTTTTGAATGTTAAAAGTTTAATCATCAATTTGCTCATTATAAATGTGTTTTAATCAAATGAATGATTCTTATGCTTTGGGGTAATTATAATGGATGAATGAATCCATACTTAAATAATGTTTGAGGATGTTTGTTATCGACCTTCACACACTCAAGCACACACACACTCAAACACACCCACACACAGATTCTCACAGTAAACTCCAAAACACATTTGCTGACGCACACGTTTGCTTTGAGAAGAGAAAGGTTTTTGGTAAGTTTCAGTCTTATGTTTCAGTTCATGCTGGACAACGAAAGAGAGAGGACCTGAAAACCAAAGGGGGGGCAGAGCCGGTTGGCTCGTTTCTCCCCCCTCTCATGCTGTTCCTGTCAGCCAGACAGAATAGCTGAATCGCAACTTCTAACGCAGACTCAGTCTTTTGATTTCTGAGTGAACTAAACTTAACAAGCGCATCGACAAAACGCTTTTCCATCGACGTGTACCGAGGGCAACTCTGGACCGGTTCCGTTCGACACCTACGTCTTCCCTGTCAGCCGCTGGTGTCATCTGGATGAACCATCACCATCCTCCATGGCCCGGATCCGAAAGAGGGTCCACAAGAGTTCGGTGAGACAGAACACGGTGTTTAGCGTTTAATGCAGTTCTCTGATAAGACCTAAGTTTATCCAAACCATCACTTCACTCAGACACCTGTTTCTTCCTGAAGCAAAATCAGATGCACACACGCATCCATCTCACCTCATCTCACCTCATGTTCAATTCTCACTACACTTTGCACCCACGCATCCATAATCACATCATATCACTCTCAACCTTCATTCACCGACAGAAGGTCTATTTGAGCAAGAACAGCATATCAACTGTTAAAGATTGTCCCACAAAGTTGCCAATGTCATTGTTATTTCCTGTTTGTCAATTTCAAAATCATTAGTTTAATTTGAAGAATTAAAACTTTTAATTGTCAAACTGGTTTCCTCATTGAACTGAAACACAGACACACAGATATTATCGTCAGTTTATCGATGAAAACAACCTTTGAGTCTTCTTAACAATATAAAATTTGGTTATTGATTTATTAAAAAATTAATATTCTGAATTAATACGTAGCATGGTTCCTCTTTCATAAAAGAGCATAAAACCACAACGCTACAATATGGCTGAGCAAGCCAGTTTCTCCTACAAAATCATTGATAATAAAATCACAAAGGGCGGAGACGTTAGTTGGAGAGATATTGTTAAAAGCTTTAAGAAAACCAGCAGCCACTTCAGGGGTTAGATGACGCTTCCTTACAGTTCTCACAGAGGGCGCACACGGGATAACGCTGGTGATGTTAAAAAATACGCAATAGTGATCAGACACTGCCAAGTCGACAACAGAGGACACATCAGTGGACAGGCCATACGTGATGACCATGTCCATTTTTAGATTTTCCTCCGAGGATCGTGGGTTTATTTTGTTTTGTTTTGGAGCTGCGTTCGGAGTAAACACCGCCAGTATTTAACCCCGTTAAAACTAATGTTAGTAACTGTTATGGACCCCTTTTTAGGCTCGCTAGGAATGTGAGATCAGTAACATAAGTAAGACGAGTCAACAGTTTAGTTATAGTAAAAAATAAAAAAACGTATCTTGAAAGTCGCGGTGGATTTAACCCAGTTTGTGCCACTGGACTTAAAAACAAACAGAACAAAACAGTGAGTGAATATTCCATGAGACTGGAACAACCTAGCTTAACCCTTTTAGGACGGGAATCAAACAAGAGTAAATAGTAACAACCAAAAGGGCTTAAGTGTCCCTGAAGGAGACTAAACTCAAAGCCCAAGTCACCAGTGGTGGCTGGTCCATAGGGGGCGTTAGGGTGCCGCCCCACCAGTCTCATGAGAAGAAGAAAATAGGAATCAAAAAATTAAAAACAACAATAAAATTAAACTAAGCTATTTCTACATCATAAAGACTACAAGTGCTGTGTGTAGTCTGCATTGAAGTGTAGTTTAAAAATGTTATTTACACTTTTAACACTACCGAATCATCTTGTGACGTTTTTCCTGTTACTTTTGGTGCGCAGCAATTGTTGTGTTCGAGATGTGGCAGTTCTGCACAGATTAGATCACCGGTGATCGGTGTGCAGTGCATACCGGTTAGATTTGTGTCTGACTTGACGCCAACTTGTTCCTTCATTGTATACGGTTCCTTCAGAATAAAGCTGAACCAGCTCCGACTCCCTAAGAGTCCTTCCAAAGACGCAGTCTTGTCGTGTCTATGTACCGTTGTCGGAGTCTCTTTTGGATCCGAGATGTCAAGGAGTCCGTGGACCCCACGGTACCGAAGTTTGTAGAGGAACCGCAGAACGACCAGGTCAGTCCCGAGTCGTCTCCAGGTCGCGACAACCAGGTGGACTTGTTTTGCGTCTATGGAAAACTCAGTGGCCAGCTCAGCTGGCTCAGTGACCTAGTGGTAGAGTGCCCGCCCTGAGACTAGGAGTTCTGGGTTCGATTCCTAGTCGGGTCATACAAAAGACTTTGAAAAAAATGGGACCCAATGCCTCCCTGCTTGACACTCAGCATTAAGGGGTTGGATTGGGGGGTTAAACCACCAAATGGTTCCCGAGCGCGGCTGTGTCTGCAGCTCACCGCTCCCCCAGGGAATGGGTCAAATGCGGAGAACAAATTTTGCACACAAATCAGTGTGTGTGACAACTAATGGGACTTTAACTTTAACTTATGGAAGGACTCTTAAACTGTTTTTACAGGACCATAGCATTTGCAAAAAGGGATTTGTCAAGGCTCCCTGGGGAGGATTTTGGCATTCATGGTAGCAAAGCTGAAGCTAGAATAAACTGCCATCAGGCACCTCTCAAACCAAGATGGGATAAGGGGAGGTCGCTGGGCGCCCCCCCCCCCCCTGCATGTGACGTACAGGTTTGCACATTCAGCGTCAGACGGAAGACACGTCAGACTGATGAAATTTCTTTTTTAGGCCCTTTAGCTTAGATGTGACTTGCTTTTTGTCCCACTTGATGCCCCGCTCAGCCAGTGTTTTCACCACTCTGTCAAACAGCTGGCTTTCTCTCACTGTCCCCATAAAAAGGTGACTAATCTGTTC